CATGTGACAAGATGGGTGGATCCTAGAATTAGGATGGCAGCCTAACTTTGGATGTCACAGAGCCTGTTTGACTTGTTCCCTGGCTCAACTGATAGAGACCATTATCAGTAGGGTGTGAACTCCTCCTACAGGAACCAAGCTAATGGTCTCAACTCTTAGGGAGAAGCAGTCCATTGTCTCCAGCAGCAGGGAGCAGTCTGACCTCCCCCCACACCATGTGATCCCTGTTACTGTTAATTCACTTGGAAAAATTGTTTTTCTTAAGATTATTTTATTGGGGTCCCTTACAGCTTTTATAACAATCCATACATCAATTGTATCAAGCATATTTGCACATATGTTGCCATCATCATTTTCTAAACATTTACTTTCTATTTGAGCCCTTGGTATCAGCTCCTCTTTTTTCCCTCCTTCCCTCATGCTCCCACCCTCTTGACCCCTTGATAAATTATAAATTCTTATTATTTCATATCTTAAATCGACTGCTCTCTCCATTTACCCATGTTTTTGTTGTTCATCCCCCTGGTGGTGGTGGTGGTGGTGGTGAGGTTATACTTCGATCATTGCAATTGGTTCCCCCTTCATCCCCCTGATCCCCCACCTTTTCCCTCTCCTCCTGGTATTGCTACTCCCATTTCTGTTCCTGAGGGGTTTATCTGACCTGGATTCCATGTGTCACAAGTTCTTATCTGTACATGCTCCAGTCTAGCCAGAAGTGAAAGGTAGGACTGAGGTCATGATAGTGGTTGGGGTGGTGGTGGTGAGGAAGCCTCAAGGAACCAGAGGAATATTGTGTGTTTCATTGGTGCTATACTGCACCCTGGTGACTCATCCCTTTCGTGTGGCCCTTCTTTAAGGGGATTGTCTACATATGGGTTTTGGATCTCTGCTCTGACCCCCCTCGTTATCAACAATACTTTTGTCTTGGGTCTTCTGATGACTGTTATCTGATCCCATCGACACCTCATGATCACACAGGCTGGGTCTTCCATTTGGGCTTGTGGCTTCTTTGCAAATCCTGCTTGTTTAACTTCAAGCCTTTAAGACCCCAGACACTATATCTTTTAATAACCAGGCACCATCAATTTTCTTCACCACGTTTGCTTATGCACCCATTTTGTCTTCAGTCATCATGGAGGGAGGGTGAGCGTCACAGAATGCCAGGTTGTTAGAGCAAAGTGTTCTTGTGTTGAGTGCCGGCTTGAGCAGAGGCCCAGCGTCTGTCCATTTCCTCGTTGTATTGCCGTATAAATATTTGTACATAGGCCAGTACCTCTAATTTTGAGAATTCATGTATTTATATATGTACACACCTGTTTACACCTCTATCCGTAGCTTTGCTTCCTTCATCTTTACTTGTTTCCTTTTGCCTTCCTCCTGCCCCACCATCATGATCACCCTTTTTTGCCTCTTAGTAATTCCTTTCAGCTAGATTGCTGTTGCTCCAAGACCACCAGGATCTCGCATTCTCCTCGTTGTTGAATTTAATTCCCTAGTTGTTCCTCAGTCTAGAGCATTGTTTGCTCACTGCTCCCTTCCCCCACTTCCTCCTTCCCCCAAGTCCCTCTGGAACCTTTGGTCCTAGTGCTTCTCCTTGGGCTTACGTCCCTTTCCTATCTTATGTAAGTAGGCAAAACAACAATAACAGGCAAAACAAAAAGAAAACAAGAGATCAAAGAATAAAAAAAACCCCGAAAACCCATACATAATTCCAGGTCTGTCTGCTGACCTTTATGACTATCTCGTCATTGGTCCTGGGGGTTCCGGGCACTGCCCCTCCTAGTTTGAAGTCTAATTGGGGGTGCTACTCAGGGGGGTTGTGGCTCTGCTTTATTCCCGTTGCTTACCTGTTAGGTCCCTTTCTTGGTTTGCCCCACTGTGGGGGGAGGGGGTCAGACTGCACTCACTCCCGACCGGGTGTCCCCAGTGTTGCCCTCTGTTATGGTATGCTGCAGCAAGGGGTCCTCAAGTCTCAAGCTGTTGTCGGCCTTACAGTCCTGTCTGTGCCTTAGCAGCTCCATGTGTCGTCCTTAGGGCTTGGTGTGCCAAAATGGGGTCTTTTTCCTTCTTGGTTTGCTTCCTTGTGGGCCTGGCAGGCCGGCCCCTCTCCACACCTGTAGCTTTAGGGTTGTCCTCTGTGGCACATACTTCTAGGGAGGGGGTCAGTTTGGCTCTGCTTGGGGCTGGCCCTGCCGACCTCTCTGTGCATGTTGTTGCATTGCTCTGAAGGTTTGGTGCATGTGGTGGGGTCTGCACAAACACTTCCATCTCTTTGGAGACATAAATGATGCCCCCCCACCCCACCCCGGGTAGATTAGAGCCCTGTTCCCCCAATGCCATCGTCTCCCCCTTTTTCCCCTTTTCTCCTCTTCCCGACCCCCTACCACTCCTCCCCCCTTTCCCCTTCTTTGTGTTGGGATAACATGTAATCCTTGGGTTTGGTCTGTCCCCACCCAAATGGTTGCACCTCAACCTGTATCGTGTGAGATAAGTGGCTTTTCTCTGTACCAACTGTGCTGATTGTACGTACCACAGTGGGTTCTTGTTGTGCTTGTCCTTTTGTGACTGGCTAACTTCGCTTAGCATACTTCCCTCCAACTCTTACCATGAGACGATGTGCTTCATGCAATCAGTGCTCTTTAGGGAAGCACAGGCCTCCTCCGTGTGCATGTGCCAGAGTTTTCTGATCCACTCTTCTACTGATGGAAATGTAGGTTGTTTCTAATTCTTTGCAATTGTGAATTGCGCTGTAATGAAGTTGGAGCACAGACCAGTGGTCGTGGTCTATTTCTTACCTGTTCTGGGTATGTGTCCAGTAGAGGGGTAGCTGTGTCATAAGGTAACTCAATTTCTATTTGTTTTAAATACGGCTAGATGGCTTTCCACAGTGGCTGCACATATCTACACGACCAGCAGCATTTGAGGAGAGTTCCTCTCTCTCTGTCTCCCCTCCGACATTTGTTGCTCTCCGATGTTCTGATCTGGTCAGTTTTCTGACTTGGGCTATCTTCAGGGGTGTTAGGTGGTACCTCAGAGTTGTTTTAATTTGCATTTCTCTCGTGGCTAATGATCCAGAGCACTTTCTCATGTGTAGTCAGGCCATTCAGGTCTCCTCCGGTCTCCTCCCTATGAAACTCTGTTCAGGTTTGTCCCATTTCCTCAGGGGGTTAACGGTTTCCTTCTTTTGCAGGCTAGGAGGGTATTGTAGATTTTAGTAATAAGCTCTTTGTCTGTTGTGTCATTGTTGAAAATTTTCTCCCAGTCTGTGGGTCCTCTTGTTACTCTCTTTGTGATAATTTGGAAAACTTTAACAGGGTCATGTGCAGCAGAATGCTTTTGTTATTTGGGAAAACAGTTTTTTAATAATATTGTAGAGTATTTCATTTAATGTTATTATATCTTAAATAACATGGTTATTTTATTTTTTCAGACCAATCTTGCTGATTCTGATTTGAAGGTTTCTAAACAGAAAGAAGTACTTATGAAAGAATTAGATACCTTTATACGTGTAAAACAATCATTAGAATATCTACTTATACGGACAGAATCCAAACAAGTAAGGCATCAACACTAAGTACTCATTTAATAGTGGCATTTCTCCCTTGAGGATATATTATTAAATTGTTGAAATTAAAATTCTGGTATTATAGATTGAAAGCATCTTCCCTGCAAAATAGGTTTAAATCCTAAGCTCCATGCCTATTTGATCACCTTTGAAAAGGTATTTTCTTTGTTTTGCTAATGAGATCTTATTGGTGTAGGGTCCATCTTAAGCCTAATCAGTTGTGAAATATAAGAGGAGCAGACGAGGTATAGGGACAGCGGACACAAATGGTGGGGGCACGGTGGTATTTTTGTGATAGCAGCACAGAGACATTTGGTGTATTTGAAACGGAAGTAATTATTTGAGTTGTTGAAATGACAGTAATGAACTTCTATTTTACTGTTTCACAAATAGTTATAAATGAAAACCATTTTTAGAGAAAATCTAAATGTTTTAATTTTCTGTCTCAGAAGTTCTCTTTATTATCACTTAAGGATTCTCGAGAGAAACAGACAAGGCCAGAAGAGACAGAGAGAGAGACAGAGAAAGGGAGAGATACTTCCAAGAGTTGTTTTTTGCAATTCATAATGATTAATACAAACAATAGCACAGTTTAAAAGGCAGGTTAAATCCCCAATAAGTAAATGCCGAAGTAAGTAGACCATGTTATCTTGGGACAAAAAACAAAGAGGAAAGGAAGTAGTTTGATAACAGGGGGCACAAGGACATAGTAAGACCACTGAATTGCAGAAGTCAAAGGCAACGTGCCCGTGGATCAGGAGCCAAGCAGGAAGCAGGAGCAAGCAGAGCCTGTGGCTTAACTGAGCCGAGGCAAGAACACGGGCACACTTCCTCGACAGCTTGCCACGTTCTCTTGGGTTCATCTACTTAGCCTTCCGTTGCTGCTCCGTTATTTGGTGGATCAAGGAAAAGCGCTGGAGGGGGAGAAATAATCAGGCATGATCTGATGCGACTTCCATATTATATTGATGTCCTTCTCCTCTCCGCCAAGAACCTGTCAGGAACCTGAGTTCTAGAGAGTGGGGACTGTCACCAAGTGACATCACATCAATGTTCTCTGACTCCCTCTGTCTTCACCTAAGCACCGGCACGTCCACCAGATAGTCGTGACAATCGTTAGAAAAGCATCGACATTAGAGATGATTTCTGATGAGAGCTTTCATCATCCAGTCACGTTTATAGCCCTAGAAGATGTTGTATCACAAAGTTAAAAAACACAATCCACCAGAGGCTTTCCACGCCTGTTCAAAAGGCCACCAGAATAATTATAGCTGGAAAGCAATCTTCAGGCTATCAAGTGGGCATGCAGTAAAGAGTTTTACATGTCATATTTAGAATAAATATTTATGAGCTAATTTGCTTACGTCCTATTCAGCTAGTCGAGGCAATCTACCAAGACGTCAGTTAATATAGGCATCACCTCACACGTTATCTAAACTAAATTTTAATTATTTATCCAGCATGTCAAGTCTTGGTATTCTCTGGCAAACGAATAAAAATGTATATGCTGTTAAAAAAAAAGAGTTGGTTCTTATGAAATCTGTAGGTCATGTCTCAAGCTGGACACTCCTCCTGTCTCATAGAATTGTAGAAGGTCGACAAGTCCAAAGTCTCTAAGTCAGGCGGCAAGCTTGTGCGGTGATTGTGCAGACTGGCATCCCAAGGTCTATGGTCAAGCCATCAGGACAGCACAGAGTTGGGAGAGAATGAAGCTGACCAGACCTTAAGAAAACTCCTCTGTCAATAGATATATTATGGAAAAATATGATATTCCATTACATTAAGGAATAGCAACCATTATAGTATTTGACCAAACCACTGAGAACATAGTGTAGCTAAATAGATAGATAAAATTAGTTATCTCAGTTGTACTTCACTTAGCTGATCACAACAAAATAAACACTCACCAATTGTTTTAAAATTTAAATCATTTTATTGGGTTCTCATAAAACTTTTATCGCAATCCATATATACATCCATTACATCAAGCACATTTGTACATTTTTTGCCCCCATCATTCTCAAAACATCTGCTTTCCACCTGGGATGTTGGAATCAGCTCCTCATTTTTTTCCCCTTCTTCCCCGCTCCCCCTTCCCTCATGAACCCTTGATAATTTATAAATTATTATTAAAATACTCTCCAGTTTCAAGCTCCCATGTACATTATATTTACACATGTGAGGGGCCTTCAAAAAATTCATGGAAAGCTGGAATGGAAAGATAATGGAATTCTTTGGTGACCTTTTGGAAGCCCCATGTATGTATATTCTTTTTTGTAACAGTTTCAATGATAATCAATTTGTACACCATACAATTCACACATTTAAAGTGTACAGTGCATTCATTTTTAGTATAGTCACAGAATTGCGGATCCATGACTGTAATGAAATTCGCCATCCAAAAAGGAGCCCTGCAGGTTCTAGCAGTCACATTCCGTTGTTCTCCCTGCCCCACCGAAACAAGACCAAACAACCAAAGGAAGACCCAATGCCATTGAGTTGATCTGAGTCATATCAACTGCGTAGTGACCTCATTGGTCAAAGTACAACTGCTCCTTCAGGTTTCTGAAAATAAATCTTTGCAGGAGCAGACGGCAGCATCTTTCTCCCTTTGAACACTGCGTTGATTTGCACTGTTGATCTGTTGGCTGGCATTCCAACCCCTAACCCATTGTACCATACCTTACCCTAGACAACCACTATCCACTTTCTGCTGCAATGGATTTTCCTATTCTAAACATACCCGTTAGAAGTCCTGGTGGCACAGTAGTTACACGCTGGGCTTCTAACTGCAAGGCCAGCAGTTCAAAAGCACCGTGGGAGAAGACGAGACTTTCTAACCCTATGAAGAGAGAACCCACAGGGTCCGTTCTACTCTATCTTGTAGGGTTGCGACGAGTTGGAATTGACTAGATGGCAAAGAATGGGAAACCCTCTCATGTAAATGGAATCATATCATATATTTTTTGTGATTTTCTTCCTTAGAGCTATTTTCAAGCTTCCCATGGTATATTGTCATTAAAAATATTTACAAGAATAAATTAGCATTTTTCTTAACTACTAATTTTAAAATGGTCAGAACCAACTCAATGGTGTTGAACAACAATAACAACAGCAACTCATTTTTGACCTTTAGACTCAGGAGCCCTGGTTGTTTAATGGCTCTGAGTTAGACTGTGGTCTGCATGATGGGCAGTTTGCAGCCAACAGTACCTCCAAGGGAGAAAGACTGGGCTTTCTACTCCCATAAATCATGACAGTCCAAGAAACCCACATGGGTGCTATGAGTCAGCATTGACTCATTGGCATTGAGTTTGAGTTTTGCTTTGAGATTAAATAAAGATCAAGATTCTTAACTTGACTTTTTAAACTGCAGTCTGAAGTTTTATGGAAAATATCGTTTGCATTGGTTAGAAATATTTGCATTGATTGGAGTTCTACGTTGATATTTTTTCTTTGTGATAATTATTTTGAGTCTTAGGACAAATTAACTTTTGCTAAAGGCTAAAAATCTTGAGCTCATACAAAATTGTTTAGATTAATTACTCTTTGGCTACTCATTGGCTTTTTCCTATGGTGACATTTTTCACAATTATAAAAATTATCTAATATTACATTGAAAAAATACATGCTAATTACAGAAAATTTAGACCTTGCGGTTGCAGCCCAACACCAGGGCCCCAATGCACTGTTTAGAGATTAGGAAATTAACTAATATTAGAAATTGTGGACAAAAAAATATTTGGAACATTCAGGCAAAAGTTGCCTCGTGGTTAACTTTAAAAAAGAAATATGAAATGCACTTATTGATTTTCCATATTAATTTCTTGAATGATGCTTGTTCCACTCTACTTTTCTTTGTTAAAGTAGCAATATACTGATGTATGCCATCCCTCTTTCACAGGTTGGAGACAGGCTGTCCAGCGTGCTGTTAGAGAAACTAACTGATAACGAATGTGAAAACACTGTAAGTCTTCACACTGGCTCTTCTCTTGAGCTTTTTGGGAAGTTGTGTGAATGTTGCTTGGTTTTATAAAGCTAACCAATGTTATCCAAGGTGTGATTATTGCTAATACTCACATTTTGTTTGCCTAAGGATCTGAAGGAGAGGATACTTGAGAAGGAAGCAAACATCCAAGAACTTTCTAATTTGTTTCAAAATGAACAGGTGAGCAAATGTTGAACCTTTGAACCAAAGGCATCATTTTGTCTTCATATCGATCCCCCTTCCCGTCTTCTCACCGCCCTCCTCTACCTGGCCCCAGGACACTCAGAAACAAACACAGCATGTCTCATTGAAATTATAGATTGTTTGGATATTTTACATTTCCTGCATCAAATATAATGTAGTTTTTAAAAAGGTTTTTAGATAATATGGTGTTTCAGTCAGCGTAATTAGCATACATCCCTTTAAGTTAGCAAGTAAGTGTATGTTTGTGTCATATTTCAATTTGGAGGTAATTTAGGCATTATTTAAGCCACTAAGGAATTTCGGAGGGACATATTTTACAAGAGCGTTATAGAAATACTCAGAATTGGAGACTCAATGATATATTTTTAAAGTACTTATGAAGAGTTATTAAATAAAGAGAGCTGGACAAAGCTCCACACACTTTTACATTTCAGATGTGTGTGGGGACATGTGAGTAGTGGTGATGGCATCATTGCTTGGGGAAATAGGGTTTTTAATCAGCCTTTCAGATGGAAAACTGTGTGTTTTTCAGCTTTTTAGATTGTGGGTAAAAGAGTTAAGTTAAAGTTAATTTGGGGACATATGAAATAACGTAAACATCTTTTTCTCCTCTCTGTTACAGGCAAATGCGTTGAAAGCAAACCGTCTTTCACAGTCAGTGAAAGTAGTGCATGAGAGACTGCAACACCAAATTGTAAAAAAGGGAGCAGAGAATGATAAATTAAAGGAACAAATTAAGGTTATAAGTATTTCCCAATTTTCATGGTTTATGTGATAAAATTAATATAATACTGTAAAGCAGTTACTTAATTCTGGAATGTGGAGATTTTGAAAAAACTTCAGTTTTAGCAATGCCATGAGTAATACATATTTCAGGGAAATTTTAATCTTAAGATGTTTGATCAAGCTAAAGATTTGTGTTCAGACCTCAATATAAAATTCTCCTTTTTTAGTACCAATGCACGAAGGGCTAATTACTTTTTAAAATCTCCCTCATTTTATAGTTATTATAGAGAACTTCAAAATTATAAAAAAGACAAAGGGAAAATTAAGAATGACTTCAACATATTGAAACCGTTGTTGTTCGGTGCCGAGAGTCCATGCTGACCCTAGCAGGGCTGTCCACAGCAGAATGCAGCCCTGCCTGGGCTTGCCCCCTCCTCGCAGTTATTGTGCTTGCGTGATTGCCGCAGCCACTGTGTCAGTCCGTCTCCTTGCAGGACTTCCTCCCATTCGATGACCCTCTGCTTTACCAAGCGCGCTGTCCTTTTCAGGGGCGATCTCTTCTGAAAAGGTGTCTGGAGTACATGAGAGGACGTCACAGCGTCCTCGCTTCTGAAGAGCGTTCTGCTGGTGTTTCTTCCAAACCAAATTTGTTGTTATGCTGACAGTCGATGACACTTCATTCTTCACCAGCACCGTAATTCAAATTTGTAGTTCTGTGGTCTTCCTTATTCACGGTCCAGCTTTCATTGAACATAAGAACTTCTGAGTTAGATTTTTGTTTGCTTTTTTACTCCAGAATTGTAGCAGAAATCTGCAGCCAATGGCATATGTTTCAAGACTATCCATGGAATTATTTATTTACAAAAAACTTTTGCCATCAAGAGTCCCTTGAAAAGCCCATTGGTGGGGGTGGGGTGGTAGGGGATGTCAAATAGGTCCTTTGTTCCCTTATACTTCTTTTAAGTACTTTGCCCCTTAGACTTTCTTTGTCCTTTGATATTGATGTCTTCGGACACTGCAGAGGACTAGGAGTTGGCATTGCGCTGCTCTGTCATGGGAAAAGGACCTCTGGGGATGTAGTGGTTATGTAGTTCTTTGAGACTGGCATGGTTGGAAGTTCAAAGCCACTAGCAGTTCATGTGCACTAACAGGTCTTCTCTGTCTTAAAATAATTGTGGGAAAAATTCATGAGAATATTTTCTTCAACTTAAAATAGTATATGCTTTTTAAAGGAAGCTTAATAGAGCTATTTTTCATATCCATAAAAATTATAGAAAGTCCATAAGACAGGCTGGATGAACAATCTGGAGGAGAAAACAACGGGACCAACAGTTCCAGGGGGACACGGGGGAGGTGGAGGTGGGGGGAAAGGTAGTGGTGTTAACAAACCCAGGGACAAGGGAACAGCAAGTGTTCCAAATCGGTGGTGAGGAGGGTGTGGGAGGCCTGGTAGGGTGTGATCAAGGGTAATGTAACCAAGAGGATTTACTGAAACCCAAATGAAGACTGAGCATGATAGTGGGGCAAGAGGAAAGTCAAAGGAAATAGGGGAAAGAGCTAGGAGGCAAAGGGCATTTATAGAGGTCTAAATAAAGGCATGTACATATGTAAATATATTCATATATGAGGATGGGGAAATAGACCCATGTGCATATATTTATAGGTTTAGTATTAAGATAGCAGATGGACATTGGGCCTCCACTCAAGTACTCCCTCAATGCAAGGATACTTTGTTCTATTAAACTGGCATTCTATGATGCTCACCTTCCCGATTCAATCGCTGAAGACAAAGTGGGTGCATAAGCAAATGTGGTGAAGAAATCTGATGGTGCCTGGTTATCAAAAGATATAGTGTCTGGGGTCTTTAAGGCTTGAAGGTAAACAAGTGGCCATCTAGCACAGAAGCAACAAAGCCCACATAGAAGAAGCACACCAGCCTGTGCAATCACGAGATGTCAAAGGAATCAGGTATCAGGCATCATCAGAACAAAAAAAATCATGTCATTGTGAATGAGGGGGGAAGTGCGGAGTGGAGACCCAAAGCCCTTTTTAGGCCACTGGACGTCCCCTTACAGAAGGGTCTCGGGGAGGAGACGAGCCAGTCAGGGTGTAATTTAGCAATGATGAAACATACAACTTTCCTCTAGTTCCTAAATGCTTCCTCCACACCTCCCCCCCCCCCACAACCATGATCCCAATTCTACCTTACAAATCTGGGCAGACCAAAGGATGTACACTGATACAGATAGGAACTGGAAACACAGGGCTGGTGACCCCTTCAGGACCAGTGGTGAGAGTGGTAGTACCGGGAGGGTGGAACTGATTATAAGGGGGAACCGAGTATAAGGATCTACATATAACCTCCTCCCTGGCAGACGGACAAGAGAAAAGTGGGTGAAGGGAGACGTCGGACAGTTCAAGATATGACAAAATAATAACAAATTATCAAGGGTTCATGAAAGGGAGCAGGGAAGGAGGGGGAAAGTGAGGAGCTGATGGCAGGGGCTTAAGTGGAGAGCAAATGTTTTGAGAATGATGAGGGCAATGAATGTACAAATGTGCTTTACACAATTGATGTATGTATGGATTGCGATAAGAGTTGTAGGAGCCCCTAATAAAATGATTTAAAAAATTATAGAAAGACCATGAGGCTAAAATCATGAGACTTTGTCATGGCATTCACTTAATTCCATGAGTTCAGGTTCTTTTTATAAAAATGATATGATGTATAAGTGACTAAATAAAACTGAATTAGATGACTGATTTTTCTACATCCCTTTGACACAGCCACATTTAGAATGTCTGGCAATACATGAGGGTCAGAAGTTAGTTCCTATATTTTGTGGTTAGAGTACCAATATGGTGCACTGTTTGCAACATAAATCTAAGTTTTGGTCACATACATTGTTATATCCAGTTCATTGTATTGGGTCTTTTAAATATTTAAATCACATTGTCAGATTCTCTGAGAACTTTCCCCCAAAGACATAGAATACTTTGAGCCGAGTGTTTTTTCTAGATCTTTATAATGTAGCAGTTAGAGTTAGACTACATTTTGAATATTTTAGGAGACAAATAATTATCTTTATAGTGTGCGACAAATTTTTGAAAAGATAAAATTTTAAAAGTTGATTTTTAAATAAATGTGTATTTATTGGGCAAAAGATTTGCAAGAGGCTACTTATTTTGAAACCACAAAGATAGCTGAGTTACTTAAACACTGTCAGAGTGTAGATTTTCTTAAATCTAGTGAGGAAGTCTTAACTCGAACCATGTTTTAATAAATAACAAAAAACTTTAATAAATTAAAAACACAACAACACTTAATCTTTGGAATTTAAAAAGGCTTTTTACTCACAGGGATGCTAAGTTCACAGTGAGGCTAGAAATTGCATAGCTATATTTGCTTATTAATGGTGTGAGAGAGACACCCTGTGGTCACTTGCAGGAATGGCACTTGTATTTACCTTGGGGGCCTGATTTCTCTTGCTTAGCTTACATTCTCCCAAATACTACCGAAGATGTCAAGTGTGAGTATTCAGGTATATTTTAAAGACAAGAATGCTTCCTTCTTCGTTCAGTCTACCTAGTCTTTCTCCCAAGAGACCACTCTTTCAATCTGAAGATGTCCTTCTTTATCTCAGCATTAGAACATTAGCAGCTAAGAAGCATATATGAGGGGGCTTCAAAAATATTTTGGAAAAATTCCACTATCTTTTCATTCTATTTGCCCATGATATTTTTGAATCCTTCTCATCTAATTAAGTAGGACACCCCCTATTTTTCTTTCTTTCTTTTATAAATCATTTTATTGGGGTTCGTACAACTCTTATAATCCATACATACATCATGTCAAGCACATTTGTGTATTTGTTTCCATCATCATTCTCAAAACATTTGCTTTCTGCTTGAGCCCTTGGTATCGGCTAGTCATTTTTCCCCTTCCCTCCCCCACCCTGTCTCCCTCATGAACCCTTGATAATTTATA